GGTCTATACTAAGTAGTTCCAGCGTTGACCGCTCGATAGCGCCGCTTACCCGCGCTAGAAAAAATCAGTCCGGGAACTTTCCGGACAAACGTGTATGTTGCTTGTCAATAAAAACACGCAGACCGTTTAAAGCTAATGTGAAAAGCAAAAACGTGTGAAAACGAAGTATTTCATATATTTTACATCAATTAAACGTCTTCAAATCTTTTTTTTTTTTTTACAAATAAAATGTGGTACTTGTAAATGTTGTACTTGCGTTGTACCTTTCCTCTTCTTTTTCTTCTTCTCCGGAGACGGTTTGCGCGAATTTATTACCGGCGGATGTATCGCGCGTGTTACGTTACGGCGAGCATACATCAGCGTTAAAATAAAAGCGAAAAGATAAGACGGCATAATCACAGTTCCGGTCCACTGCGTGTGTGTGTGTGTGTGTATGTGTGTATACACACATTTATATTGTGTGGTATAACTGTCCGAAGTAGATACCCGCGAGAGTTGTTTTCCAGTTGTTGAGCCGGGGTTAACTTACTATGATGTAACTAAAATAATTAAAGTGATGCGTGTGCGAGCTCTCCGTGCTCGAGAGCAGCGAGACAACTTTAAACCCGGATGTGGCCGAGAAGGAAGATCCCGAGCCCGCGTGTGCTACAAGGGTGTTACTGTGTAAACTTCACGCGCCCGTATGAATTTGCACACATGTTCGGACACACGCGTGCTCTGTACAAAATTCACCCTTCTAATAAAGTAGAATTGTCTCAATTAGTTTGCAAGTGGAATATGTTTTTTAAATATAATGTATTTCTTCTTCTCTCCCGGCGCATCGCAAATACGTAACAAAATGAATCAGTTCTCGGCCTACTTGTCACAGATATTACTTAATGAAAAAATTTGCTTATAAATGCTATTTTTCTCTCTATATAGAGTCTCTTTTCGAGATATATATAACATAAAACAACTGGTAATCTCCAGTTTAAATTCTCTCGTGTTTGTTTGTTATAAGATATTTATTTTTCCATGCTCGGGTTTTCTATTTGTACACAAAGTGAAACAACAAATAAATGTAAGAAGTTAATTAATTAAATTGAAACAAAAGCCATATATAAATTGTTTATCTTTGGAAATCGCACAGGCTCGCGCAGAATCGCTCTTTACTTAGCAGTCGGGTCACACACACACACACACACAAAATAGCGCATTTTCGACCGGTACTTACAGGCAGAGATGCCAGTTTGCGGACGCTAGCAACATGCTGCAGCAAGTGGAGGGGACACGCACACAAGCAAGCAGCCACTCGCCGAGGCGCTGAGCGCACACGTACACGGCTGTTCGCCTGTGTGCGTTTCGTCTGTGTATCCCCTCTACTTGCTGAGCATGCTGCTAGCGTCCGCAAACTGGCATCTCTGCTTACAGGTTGAACAGCTTCCTGAGCGACTAATGACGTCAAGTTGGAAAATCGACCAATCACATTGCTTGATTTGACCAAAATGATGTCATTAGTCGCTCCGATGAAGCGATCCGGTCGAAAACGTTAAAAGTCTCCTCTAAAATTACATCCACGTCCAGAAATGGGGTCGGTGACGCTATCTGTCGAGCGCGGACGGTAGTTCCCGTCGTGGCGACACACAGAGAAACGTAGAGGAGACACGCGTAACGCGACACAACAATGGCGACTTGAGCGAAGTTGATCGTGGCGTGCGCTATCCTGGTACCGTGTGTTCGTGCCGCGTTATCGAGATTACGAGTGCGTCTATCCGCGGCCTTGCATGCGCTCTTGTGAATGCGTGGCCCGTACGCGCCATCGAGAGATGCGTTGCTGGCGTGGCGCGAGTCGCAGCCGCGTACAGACAGTTCGCACGTTTCCCCGTTGAGGCCAGCAGCATCAGCAGGTCGTGCAGTAGTGACTGACACAGTGCGATACATGGTGCCCGCGTACCTTGCTGAGAAAACGAGAGATTCATCATGCACGTGTTTGCGCGATTGCGTACGGACCATGTGTAACGTGCTGGTGAGTAGGCAAATCGCGCGCCGATTCATCTCGAGAAATCCCGGCCGGCTTTTTAAATCACCCGGCGCTCCGGATTCGACTGCGCGTCGCGCGCGCAGCAACACTGCGCTGCGCTGCAGCACCGTGTATACATATACACGTACAAACGCAGACGCGTATACATGCAAGCCACACAACACACTACGCTGGAGCGCTGGCGTAATCTGTGAGATGGAGGCGCTCGCGAAGCCTCCGAGAGTTTTACGGCGAGTCCGGGGGGTCAGGTTAGGTTAGTCTGCGAGACTACCAGGCGGAATTTATTTTGTTCTCTTTTGCTCGCCCGTGCGACGGAGGTCTCCTCTATTTGTTGTATCGCAGGCCTCTTATCGCCGTGTCGAAGGCACGGCCGCGTCGTGAACACGCTCCCCGTATTCCCTTTCATTTTCTTTCTCTTTGGTCCTCTCTGCCTCTCTCTCTTTTCCCCCTCCTTCCCTGTCTCTTCTCTCTCTCTCTTTCTCCTCACGAACGTCCGCCTCCTCTCGTTCGGGACGGACAAACGGACAGCCGCTGGCGCGCCACCCGAGGTAAACTTAACGGTAGTAATTTCGTTATTTATATCGGCATATGTAAATATAGATAGCGCAGTCCGACATATATATATACACACACGCGTACATGGGGGATTCAAGATTAATGTATATGTATTTACATGGCGCGCGCTCTCTTTCTTTCTCTCTCTTTCTCTCTCTGTCATGTCAATGTACTTATGAATGATGGTATTACAGTGTGTGAGTAATTACAAATGTTTTGTTTGTCATATTCTGTTAGCGTTGCAGTTATTGATGTTTGATTGATTACTGAGGTGTTTACTGATTGGTGTTTGGTGAATACTGCAATATTGTGAATGAAAATAGAGTGTACAAAAATCCTCTCAGTTATATACACACATATTGTGGAAAGAATATAATTAATAATACATATATTTTTTGTGCATCAAAGAGTTTATAAAAAGCTATCAGATTTTGCATTATTCAAAGTAGATTTTTTATTTATGCACTGTGCAAACAGCTAAGAACTGTGAAAAAGATATTTTATATCTTTTATAATGTATAGAGAAATTTTTTAAATATAATATAAAATAGAATAAATATATATCTTCATTATCACATGTTTTATTTGACTAAGTTTAATTTAAAAAATAAGCCTTATGAAAACCAGTAATGATAGATTTTATAAATATATTATAAGTATATTATTTTTAAAAGATATGTAAACACACAGATTATAATATTGAATATCAATTTTTTGGTTTGTTAACAGTGGATTTAGTTGCCACAAAAATCCAGTAATACTGGCATGATAAAATAAGGAAGCAAAGGAAGGAGATGAGCCACAATATTGCGGGCATGCCACCATATAATCGGATGCCCGGACTGGGGGGTATGGGAATGGGTGTGAATATGGGCCCCAATGCCCCACATCCTGATTCTTCTGGTCACCCCCATCCGCCACCGCCACCACCAGCTGGTCCTAATCCCAAGAAGAAGAGACGTACAAATGCAAGTGTTGCTCAACCACCTCCGCAACAGCCTCCATCTGTACAGGTAAGTTAATTTTAACTTGATTCATTAATATCACGTTGTAATTGTCTCATTATTAACACAATTTGTAATCCTCAACAGGATCTTCTACCCCCACCTTTAACGGGTTATGGTGACACAATAGTTGCAAGTAATCCTTTTGATGACACGCCACCACCGACCCCGCAAAGTCCAATGATGCATGGTGGGCCTCCGCATATGCATCCACATCATCCACATCATATGGGAGGACCTCCTATGAGAGGTATGAGTCCATTAACTTCGATAGGAGGCATGAGCCCCATGATACCGCACAACATGGGCAACATGAGCCCCATGGGCAATTCGCCCATGACAAATCACATGAATCACATGGGGGCCATGTCTCCTATGAATCACGCTCCCATCGGCGGTATGAGTCCTATGAATAACATGGGTCCAAATATGCCGCCTGGTCCGATGAATACCATGAACAATCACATGAATATGAGCCATATGGGAAACTCGCAACTGAGCGGTCCGCCTATGGGCAGTCCAATGAACAATATGAACAGCGGGCCTATGGGCAGTCCGATGAACAGTATGGGCCACAACATGGGCAGCCCTATGGGTGGACCTCTTGGTTCTCCGATGAACACCATGGGAGGATCCAATCATATGCCTAATGGACCAATGAACATGAATAATATGAACAGCCATATACCGCCCAATAGCCCATTAAACGGACCGTCGATGAACAACGTGAACAGTCCGCTGGGACACAACGGATCTCAACCGCATCCGAATCACATGGGAAATAATCTCAACAACCTGGGAAGACCTATGAATGGACCTATGACCACTATGACTTCGATGGCGTCGAACAACATGAACATGACCGGACCGAATCAAATAAACAACATGAACATGGGCGGTCCGGCAATGAATAATATGTCGAATATGAATATCAGCCATCACAATCAGATGGGAGGTCACATGGCGGGGCCAATGGGCACGATGTCTAACAATATAAGTGGTGGGCCACCTATGGGACATCCTATTAATCCCATGGGTGGCTCTATGCCACCACATGGGTTTCAAGGACCGCCAGGAATGGGTCCAAAACCAATGCCGATTTCCGCTGGCAAAGTAAGTTGCTCTTTCATCAAACCTCGTTGCAGAACTCGATATTTTGTAGTGACTTATTGAGAAAACTCACCTTTTTTTTTTTATTGATTTCTTACAGATTTATCCGCCAGACCAGTCCATGGTATTTAATCCACAAAATCCCAATGCACCTCCAATTTATCCTTGCGGAATTTGTCATAAAGAAGTACACGACAATGATCAGGCGATTCTGTGCGAATCGGGTTGTAACTTTTGGTTCCACAGGTAGATAAGTCGATAAGATAACAATCACATAGGAAGATAATGCAATAACGTTTTACTTTATCGGACAATCGCTCGATGTTTTTTCAGGGTTTGCACAGGATTGTCGGAACCCGCCTATCAGCTATTAACTGCGGAGGTCTACGCAGAATGGGTGTGTGATAAATGTTTAACCTCGAAGAACATACCTCTAGTTAAGTTTAAACCATAACACTTCGTGTCCCGTCGTTCATGCGACGTTCGAGTGACTCTTTGTTAGCGTTTATATATGTACACGCACACATACGCGCGCGACTGTGCACACATCCATACATACACAGACACGGACAGATTCATTCATGGCACATGATAAATACTAATGCACGTGCGGAATCGTGCATACAATTATAAAAGTATGGTATTTGTTATTAACTTAGCTTTAACTTGTTGATTATTAGGATAACATTATAAGTCGTATGTGAATATAAATATGAAATCCGGAGTAACATATATATATGCAAGATGTTTGAAAAATTTTGACTAAGCCGAAAATATCGAGTCAATCTGAACAGAAAAGTCATTTTGTTATTTTGCAAAATTTGCAATATTTATTAAGCAATAAATGTGAAGATCCAATAAGCGCGTGAGAAGTGATGATTCGGACTCTATAAACGTGTACGATTTTTAGTTGTAAAACAAAATAACTTCATGCAATCTCCTAACAGCAAGACATAAAGCAAACAACCGAGCAATCGTGTGATAGCTTCAACTTCGATCAGCTGATTTTTACAACTGAAAATCATACAGGCTTAGAGTTCGGACCATGTTTCTTACACGCTCATTGGGTCACGTGTATTAATAACTATTGCAAACTTTGCAAAAGAATATGTGACTTTTCGATTTAGATCAATTTACCTTTATACTTGGTCAAAATATTTCAGACAATCTGTATATATATATATATGTGTGTGTGTGTGTGTGTGTGTGCATATATATATATATGTATTTATATATATTTAAATATATTATGTATAAACATATATGTATTAAATATATATTAAATATATATGCGTGTATATATATATATATATATATATATATATATATATATATATATATATATATATATACATATATACATACACATGTTATTTTTAATTTTGAATCTGTTTATGCCAAGTAAATTTATTTAAAAAAATTATTGACGCGACAGAAATATATCATTCATTTGCTACACAACAAGAACGGCATAATTTAAAAATCGTATAAACGATAACTTATCTTAAATTCATAGAAAATGAATGTTGTAAAATTATCACTACTGAACCACCAAAATTTATATACAACTACCTAACCGGTAGAAATTTAAAATTGCCTTTTTATTTTTCATAAATAATTAATTTAAAAGCTGAAAGTTTATTTATATCGTTCTTGTTATTTAAATGAGCGATGTATTTGTCAAAATATATTCGTGGATATATATAAAACAAGTTATATATATATATATATATATAACTGTTAAGTTGAAAAATCGTGACAAACATAGAAAATAATATATTGGCAAATATAGGGATCTTTTTTAATAATTAATATGTAAAATATTTTTAAACAAATTTGACTATAAATTAAAAACTATTTGACTAAATTAAAAACTATTTGACTAAATTAATGACACTGAGAATAAAATGTTTTTAATGCTGATATTAAAAAATATGTAAGATTGAGTCGACCAAGTATTTTATTATTATTATTATTATTATTATTATTATTATTATTATTAATTGCATTTAATTCAAAATTAACGATACCTGTTATGGATGACATTAAAAACAATTGATATTATTAGACAGACGACGTTTCAGTAACTGCATCGTCTTTGTTTCATCCTATATTAATGTTCCTGATAACATCATTAAGAAAAGTTGTTGTCACTTCTTTTGCAATTGATATTCAAATGTCACAATTTTAAGAAGGAAATTGAGTTACATATGAATATCTTATGTTTATTATTATAACATGAAAATGTGTATGACCGTTAATACGATATATTTATTCTCATATGCCAATTAATATTTCAAGTTTAACGCAAGAACTTGTCACAAAACAAGTTTTATTTTTATTGTTAAATGTACATGTTTTATATTAAATTTAAGTGACTCAACACAATCAGCATGCGAATAGGTTAATTCCATTCGAAAAACACAATTACAAATTCACGCGCAGTATTGGTATTCCGAGACGATGTAATCTAAAATATGCTGCAATTCTTATATTTTTATACATTATATATATTTTAGAGTATATATATATATATAAACCATGGTACATTTTGATTTAGTATCGTCGATTTATTTATTTTTGTTTTTTTTTTTCGAACTAATATGACTTTTGAATTTGTAATCGAGAGGGTACGGTGTTTTTTACTATTATTTTGAGTGTGTGACATCTTCAAAAGTGAAAACTAAAAATAGGTTTAGAAAATAGATTCTAATCGAATTTGTTATGTGCAAAGCGACTACACTAAGTACAATATTTCTAAAGTAATCTTTTTATTTTTTTATATTAATACTTTGAGTTTGATTACACTACTATACTTCGATTGCCATGGTTTAAGTTTTTGATTCGACTGCGGTTAGGATTAAGACAAATATTTCTAAAATTGTGTAAAAAGTGTTTCTGTAAAAATTTTTTTTCTGTTTTTTTTTTAATTTATAAAATAATCTTTAATGAGATCCGCACACAACAAGAATTTATTTAACTTATATCATTGCGCTGGTTCTACTGTAACAAAGGATTTTGTTTCGTAACTTGATAAGAAATCCAGCATAGGAAATAGATCAGTCTCCGACATCTCTCCGGACAATGTTAAAATGCAAAATGAAATTGTTAAGAATCTTGATTAGAACAATTGTAATTGTAACATTTTCTGTATCATAAATTACATTCTTATTTGTATAATTTGCAATTTATCTGCCGTTTGTCTATTGCAAATACTTTATAATCGAATTTGGTCGGATGATGTGTACTCTGCTACGTGCAAAGGTTGTTGTACACAAAGCGGCAAAAGCAACGAGATGTCCAAGTTGCAACAATGTTTCATAAAGTATACATCGGACATCTTGTTGAATAACACGCTGCATTTCAGCACTTTGAAAACTTGTACAATAAGCTTTGGTTTATACGTTCCAACCAAATTCGCAATTATATTACGAGTCATCTTGGAAAGACAAAAATAAACATTATGTGAATTCACGATATAAAAAACACTTAACAACTTTAACTAGTTAGCGTAATTTTTTGCATCTGCCAGAAGTTCACGGTATCGACGATATCAATATGTCGTCGATATGTATCGAAAAGAACTGAGTATTATTGTCGTAGAAGATTTAATCGCTGAGAGAAACGAGAGAACTAAAATTCCGTCGGCAGCTAACACGCAAAATTATCATCGAGTCTGTATATATATATATATTTATATATACATAAAGATATATGTATACATATATATACAGATATGAAGAAGTGTATAGTTTTTTATATGTATATGAAATATATAGCCAGTTATATCATTTGACGCATGTATTAAAAGGAGATTTGAAGTGGCGGAAGTTTATATATCGAAATTAATATCTGCTGTATATCTCACGACTGTATATACAGATTTATACTAATTCACTCGGCAATCGAGATCCTTAATTTTCGGTCAAGAAACACATTTCTTGATCTGAAATTAAATAATCTTTTCTTGAAGTATCTCCGTTTTATTCATGCCTTCAAGCTTGATTTAATCGTTTGTAATCATTTTTAATACACATTACATATGAAGCAAACACGCATACACACACATAAACTTACACGCAGCATGTAACTACATAATGCTCATGTTAGTATTACAACGAATAGAATTACCACATTTTCACATATCTTCTTTCTATATTTTCTCGTAACGGAAGGGCGGAAGATCACGCTGTGAAACAGAAAAAAAAAACCAACCTGTAACATTGCTTTTATTATTGAAAGTTAAACGTGCAGGGGATTAAAGCGATTTGCGAAAGAGCTTTCACATAACGTTGTCAATGTCAATGAGGCAGCGGAGAAAATCGTTTTCTAGTACAAATAAATGAGCTGTAATTTAAGTGACTAACACTAACGTCTATCTGTCCTTGAATTTTACATTATAAGATATAATTTTTAAAACACGATTGCTGTCATTACGTTCAGAGTCATGACATATAGAGCATGTCGATAAGTTTCTTCTTTGCTTTGTTCACTTTTTACCGATGATCATCAACTATGTGTTCGATGTTAGCTTAACTCCCATCTCCCCTGTAAAATTTATTCTAACAAATGCATTTCGTACACATATATGTATAAGTCCAACTACATGTCTCATTGTTGCACTTCCTTCAAATAAGCAGTTATCTTTATTTTCGGCAAAAATATATGCGTATGTGTAAATATATGTGTAAATTGTGGCGACTTTTTAACGAAGGTGGAAATATTTCGCATGAATATTATACATGTGTATGGTCTTTTTAAGTTTTCCTTTTTATAAGCGATACGCGCGATATCGTATGAATATCTGTATTGACTCTCTATATATATACATATATATATACATATACATATATATATGTATATGTACATAAGCCTTTCTATATCTTTAAGACTTTACTATGATGGGAATCAAATGAGACGCGCAGACATTCGCCGCAATCAGTCGTTTCTCATGTAAATATTAATAAAAATATATCACGTTAAAAAAAAGAACAAATCACCGATCATAATGTGTTGAATATATTTCGCACTAATTCTTATTCTTAAAACTAACGTAAAAGAAATATATATATATATATATATATAGTAGGCGCAATTCGTGGTCGAGACGGCCGAGGGAATCCAGTCGCGATTTTGACCGACTCGATGTACTGGTTGCGACACGGAACGATAAGATTTGAAGAAAAAAAACCGAAAAAAAAAGGGAGGAAAAGAAGCCGAGGAGCGCCAAGCGCCTGTAGCGCAGCGATAAAACGCTACGATAAAACGATGTGGACGCGATATATCACGAACGAGGCAAACAAGAACAGCATTCTACAAATTGTTCATAAATTATTTTTTATCATGTGAATACACAGAATATATATATCAGCAATAAAAATTGTTATACATATTATAGACTGGCGTACATACGTATGATCATTTTACAATACGCAGAGAAAGAGAGAGAAAGAATGTGTGCGCGTATGTGTGTGTGTATGTGTGAAAAAGAGATGTGTACCACTCCCATTTATTCTTACGTGACGTGTACATGTTTCACTCATCTATATTGTACATATTTATATATGTGGCACTTTAAATAACAAATCGATCCATTGTTGATTTTTACATTACTGTTTTCTATCTTGAAATGGCTCACACACAACACCGAAACACGTGTCCTGAGATTCGTTGAATTTCCACTCGAGTTCTATCCAGAAAAAAAAACTGATAGAAATTATTCTCCTCTCTCCCCAAGAACAACGTTTTTTTTGTATAAGAATAAATTTAACAGAAAACTTTTATCATTTTTTTAATAATATTATTTTGTATTTTAAATTTCTTTGATATGTGTTTCTCTTATTCTCCAGAAAATATCTGTTTTATCTTTTCATTATTGAGTAGCAATTTTCTAGAGAACAAATTTTTGTTTTACACATTTTATGTAGAATTACAACATGCACAATCGATCGGAACTTACTTGAGCAGCAAGATTTCGAGGGTTTATCTGGTCTTCAAGATTTCGAGGATTTTAAAGAATGGCAAGATTCTCTTCTTTCAATCGTGTGCAGGCGCACGGAATTTGATAACGTTCTAGCAACGTGAGCTTTTGTTACACGACCTCTTTGACCGTTACAGTTCATTTCCACCATCCACAATTTTCGCGGTATTTTTGGACGAACGTAGACGAGCGCTTCGTTACACGTTAACCACACGTCTAAATAAAATAAAATCGTGTAAAAATAAAGTATTTGTTGAATATTATATATTTATAAAATAGTAGACAATTCTTTTGTTCGAAGTAAGACACATTAGATGTAATTGTTACAACTCACTTTTGTTCAAGATGGACGTGCGTGTACGTTTATGTTCCACTGCGTTGTGCTAAAAAAGAGACAAAAAATGTGTCGTTTATTATTATAATCTAATAAATGTAATAAACGGTAAATTGTAATCGTTCAATTTTCACGAAATAAGAAGAGTCGGCAGACATTACTTCGTAATGACGTCTCAGATAATATTGGTCTGGATGCATAGTGTCGAAAAGGTTTTGGCGATGATGAAGGGATTTGTGCGCGAAACAAATGTGCTCCGCGTTCGTGTGTAGCCCCAACCGACCGTACGTCCCATACTTCTTCTCGTCGGCGGGTCGTAGCGTGCCGTTTCTCTTCATCGCCAAATATATCTGCTCGATTACGCCGCAGCTCTTGATGAGAAAATCCCTCTGCGCCAGAGCCGCCACTCGCTCTTTCTCCTCAGACTCGGATATGATTTCGGCCTCGAAAGAGTGCAGGGCGTTGGCAGGACGTCCCTGCGAATCCTGTTTATTGATCTGCGAAAAAGAGAGGATGATAACAAACCGTGTTCATTTTTTTTACCTCTCTTTCCGACGACGAGAGAAACTTCTATCTTCATTATAACAACTTGTTATAACTTTGTAAATTTTTACACGTCGCACTCTTTTAATGAACGATAATTATCTCGTTCCAATATAAATTTTACCAATAGTTTCTTTACGACGACGTAAAATGACGAATCTTCTTTGTGTGAGCGGCACACTTAATAAACGAATTAATTGTTTTAATTGTACTTAACGATCTTTCTCAACACGCCCGCAGATTTGGATTTCTCATGCGAATGTTTTAGCGTGCTCGAATTTTCCGAACATAATTTCGGCTCGTTGCTCTTGCCGATTAATCTCTTCCGGTCTTCCCATTTATTTGCTCTCAGCTGAAATACAATTATGTTATTGTGCGGATCGATCGGAAAGGATTAGCGAAACGTTGTTTTCTCGTTCGATCCGAGAGGATTGAATCAAAAAAATGAGGTAAAATTCACCTCGATCTCCTCCCTCTCGATTCTCGACGCTTCTTCGCGCTTTCTCGACGCCACCGTGTCTTGGAAAACAGAGAGCGCGTTCTGTGTGAAGAAAGGCTGATATTTATCCCCGTCAAGACATGGATAAATTCTTCGGAAATTGCCCATATGGTCGTCTTCCCACCGGAACTGTCTCTGCATATAGTTGTTCTCGCTCTTCTCGAGTTTTGTCGGAGCTGTCGCGTCGTTGATTTGTGCTCTGCGCGAGATAAGTAAACAACACGTCAATGTATCATCATCTACGTATTATCTACATTGAATTTTTTGCATTAGAAATATTAGATTTAGAGTCTTAATCCTGAATCAATGCGCATTCACATTTCTTTGTTGTTCGTGCTTTGAAGAAGTCGGTCCCTGATCCGTTTCCTGTCTTCTTCCATTATTTTTTTCTTATCGCACTGCTGAAAATTTAACATGTCGAAAGTGTCCATCAGCAATCCTTCTTTCACGTCTTTATCGATTTGCGCGTCCGTGTGAAAGCTCGGCGAGTGATTTACCTAAATTCATCAAATGTATCTTTTATATTTTCTCCGAAATTTTGTTTTACGGTAACTTTCGTCTAATGTTTACTTCGAGGAGATAAGGTTTGAGTTTCCAGTCAAGCAGAATGTCGAATCCAAGAAGCTCGAAGCACGCGTACGTTTTGTCGTGCGTCGGAAAGCAGGCGTGATAACTGTGTTTCAATACAGGATACGCCGCGAGCACGGTTTTAATTATTATTCCGTCGATCTCGTCCCACAGTTCCTTCACGTCGATTTTTCTCGCTTCGAACCATTTGTTCAACGTTGATATTTTTCTGTAAAACACAAAATCGCGCTAATTTATCGCTTTTTATTACATACATTACGTGGGATAAACAAACCTCTTACTACCAATCTCGTCGTCGATGTTGTACATTCGACTGTGTTTATTAACGGAATAGTTCGTCAAGTGCATGAAGATGTTGGAATGGTTGTGACCGTTCGGTTCTTTATACTTGCTCGTTGCGAATCTAAAAAAAGAAATATCTTTTCATTTTTTCTGTTAACTAGAAATTTTTATAAATAAACTGATGTGCATTTTTTATAACACATGTATATTTAAAAATATGTATATATATATATATCGAGTTGTCAATATGTTTATAATAAAACATGCTATCGTGGTGCATTTTGTACCTTGCGAGTCCTTCGTTGTACACGAAGATCCTGAGAGGATCGCATGACGTGATTAGTGCGTAAATACGCAGATCAAATTTGTATCCGTCTATTAAAAAAGGCTAAGGAAAGTGGTAAGAAAAGGACTGTATACATCTTGTATATATATATATATGAGCATTGATTTTTCTTAATTAACAATTAATAGAGAATTTTTAGAGGCTCTGAAGTTTCTAAACTAGAAATATATGTACAGACGGTCATAAGAGTCGTTCGCTTATTTTCTTAATTACGCAGAAAACAAAAATAATATACGTTTCGTACCCTTGCGATGTACACCTGACAGATCATGCGTTCGCTCAGGTTGATATCTTTCAGGTATTTTGTGAGATAAATGCCGCGCCCTTGGCAGCCGGTGTCCGGTTTGATAATGAAAGTTTTAGACTTCCGCGACTTGGCGTAAGACATCGCGTCGCCGTGACTGGAATCCGAAATCTAAGGTTTCCGATCTTGCTTACAAGCTCTCATTTTAACGTTCGGGAAATATTGATTATTTTTTTATCGCCATAACGGCGCGAATGGGATTTACGACCGGTTAGGTAGAAATCCGAGAACGGTCATATTCGAAGAAGCAAAACAAGATAAGTTGTAAAATAGATACGGAGGTTTTTGATCGCACAACTGACAGCGAGCGAAAGAAGAAAGATATATATGTATGCATATATGCGCGAGTCAGTGTTGAATTACAGTAATTTTCTTTTCTTCATGATTATCGCTATTAAAAAATATACGTAAACGTTTATCATCTTAAATTAGATGACAAAAGCGATAACACGTAGAAAACAATCTTTGTCAATTATTTAGTAATATCAATTTTTTGTAAAAAAAAAAAAAAGACAGGTGAAATATATAAAAGATATAATACGTAGATAAATATTTCATAACAAGAATTTAATAAAAATATTTTATAAAAAAACTTTAATGATTTTTTAACGGGTAACTAACTCCAATGATAAATAATTATATTCTACATGTGTGCACACATTATAGCTTACTCCGCGGGAAAACACCAGGTTTTCGGGAAAAAGTTGTAATCCCTCGGAAATAGTCTCTGCATACGACTGAGATTACGAGCGAGCAGATCCTTTCTGCATATCTCCGTCATCCCGGGAAAATGATTGACTTTCTGGAACCTTTTCATGTCCTTGGCACGGTCTAAGCTGACGCTCATGTCGGTCCAATAAAGATCCCAGCTACTGTCCTCCGTAACTTCCCTCATCCCGAATCGCGCGGCCACGCGTCTAACAACGTCGTACTTGCAGTTCGCAGTGCAGATCATTAGAAACCTTTGTATTTTTTTTTTTTTTTTAATTGGAGAAGAGTCACTTTCAGTTCTCAAACATAGATTACACGGGAAGAAGGTAGAAATCTCTCTCTATATACCTGCGCTTTTTCTTCTTTTTAGTTTGCGATGTCCCATCCGTGTTATCTTTGCGCCATTCTGAATCGCTCTCGTGTAACGCGTCTAGAAATGGTTTTTATTTTTGCAAGATAATAGCTTAAAAACATATTGAGAAAGAGAAAAGTGAGAGAAAGATAAGTACAAACTTAAAAACTTAAACTAAAATTTAAGTTTATCGTTTTAATAAGAATTTCTGAATTTTTGAAAATGTTTCTTATTGAAATGTCGCGTATCGAACAATAGAAAAGATTTTAGAATTGAATCAATACCAATATTATTGCCCTTGTCAGCAGTAATCCTCCAGTGATACGGTTCGGAATCATGCTTGGCAACACCTATCTTGTCGCACAGTGAGACGTTCGTGGAATCGTCGGTGGAGATAAATTTCCGATCTTGAAACGCGTAGCTCACAGACTTGCACAGTCGCTTCTTGAATCCCGTGTTGAACTCACCGATCGTCGCACTCTCGTTTCTGGAATTATCATCTTTAGAATCGTGCAATATCATGAGCGAGCGCTTATCTCTGTACTTGACGAAGATCATGACAAACGTAGGTTTCCATTATTCGATTATTTCGATCGCGCCGTCACTGCGCGCGCGATGTATGTCCATTAATTCAGCGTCAGTGTCACTTCTCGAATATCTTTCACATTTGCCGCATAATCGCGATAAATAACTATCGATCGATAGGTAACTTCCTCTGTCAATTGTACTCGAACAGTTGACGAAGTTAAACCTCGAAATTTTTTCTCATCATATAATATAATGCATATTTGCGTCAAAATTTATTATCTGTGCTATTTTCAAAAACATCTGTTACTAATCTAAAATATGTCGTTTAAAAAACCGTCTGCAATATTTAAATTAGTAATTATCATACATTTGAAAAGAATTCGAAACTTAATTACTATATTATGATTTTATTTGTTAAATTGATATAACAAACAGAGAAGTGAGAGAAACATCTAATATGTATTTTTTTTAAACAATTTTTCTAAATCAATTTCAAATTAAATAAAACATATAACGCTCCGCATATACAGCCTTTTGTAGTTTGCATACCTCTCGATGTCAATATTTCCCGTCTAATCTCGATGGCAATAAGACGCCAACTGCTTTCCGCGATTAAAAACTCGCGAGTGATATAGATCGTACTGCGACCGGGGAGCGAGAGAGAGAAACACGCGTCGGCGACGTTTAGCTTGACGCGACTAACTGCGGCACGATCTACATGTAAAGTATCTTAGTAGCTAGTTTGGTGCTTTAATTACAGTCGACGACCATATTTAGAAATTGTACGTTTGTTACGAAGTAATCACGACACGAAACTTTAAATAGGTTGCTGCGCTTCGCGCGCGGATCGAACTCTCGCGCGCTGCTTATACGCTCGTTTCTTGACGTTTAATTACGTTTCTCGACTTCTTTTTCCCGTTATTATGCGAAACAGGAAGGTCTAGATTTTATAGTCGCAAAGATATCGATCAGACTTTAAATATATACGAGCGATATGAATCGAGACGAGTATCCCATATAGTTGAAATTCATCTCCCAGCAATTTAAAAGAAAAGTTAATCTAAATTTAATTGTGATCTAAATTTTTATCTGAAAACTAAAATATGAAGAGAGATAATATAGAGAATGATATTTCTAGCAGCGCGATTATATTCGTTCGGCACAAAAAACCCAGGATTGAGCAAGGTTGAATGTCGCGACTGTGCGGGCATAAAAATATAACAAAGGATAAAAAGTTTATTCTGTCCCCGGCGGAGTTACAGTTTGGAGTTTAATTCGGGTACTTTCAACTTTCTTATCATCTCGACGACGTCTATGGCGCAGCCCCAGCACAACGTCACGCCACTTCCGCCGTGGCCGTAATTGTGTATCACCTGAGGTAGAAAACACGAAATGCAAATTATAAGAAGCGACCGTGTTAGAACCGAATCGTGTTCGAATGAAGTTTCGTGTGTGTTCAATCGTGTAGTTTACCGTGTCGTTATTGATGTAATTCAGTTAACCAATATTTTGCGGCAATTTACCTTGAACTCCTTCCCCATAGGCGAGATGAGACTTTCGCTTTCCAGACGAACTCGCGGTCGTCCTGGTCGGAGACCCACCCATTGGCGAATTATTTGACTTTTCTGCGCAGCCAAAATTATTATTAGAATAAAAATGATTATTAGATTTGTTATTAGAATAAAAATAAATTTAACAGAGCGCGTAACTGTGATTTTAAAAGGAACTAATGTAAAAATATAATTAGCGCGCATTGATTCTGATTCTTTTTTTACGATCAATTTAATAATATGTCGTATCTATCATATCAGAACCTTTAAGGAAGGCATCATGCGACAGCATCCATCATAAATGTGTTTCGAGTCTTCCTCTCGTACGGAACAGTCGAAGTCATTTTCCTGATGCGTACCGCCCAATACAACGGTGTGGACGCTAAGCAGATATAAAAAAAAATTATTATTATTATTGTTGTAAACAATGCAATGCATCAGTAAGGTTTGCTTTACTTGGGGATAATATAATTGCAGTCGTCGTCGTCCACTAGAAAACAGTGCATCACCCACGGTGCTTTCACCTTTAACAGATTCGTTAATTTTTGTTATTCAAACGTCATATAACAAAGCGCGAAGACATTTTTGAATAAATTGCATTATAAAAAGTTGAGTATTTTCACGCCAATTGCTATTAGAATTTTTTATGCAACATCATAAAAAATAATTCTGAATCTCTTTTTTGAGAAAGAAAGAAGAGAAAGAGACAGGAATATTAATATTCGCAATATAAATTACAGATAATGTCAATTACCTTGTATACCTGACCTCTGATAGGTGTCACCGTTTTATCCGCGACGAGCTCTCGTGCGCCGAGACCGCTGCAATTTATTATTAAATCGTATCCTTCGTCGGCTAACTCGTGCAGCGCTTTAATCTTTCTCTTTTCCATTTCTCCGCCCGAAGCAGCGAACTTTTCCATAAGCCACGGTAATAACAGAAACGGCTCGGCAGTATAAGTTATACAATGCCAACCTTGTCTGAAATTGTCAGTTGAAAATATCTAGAGAAATGACTGCAATAAGTTACGTAAAAAAGAAAGAATTCTAAAAATCAATTCTTATGAATGCATAGCTCGCTCAAAAGAAAAAAACACTTCTACGCTATTAATTATTTTATATTCGCATTCGTTTAATTTCAAATGATTAACAATCTCTATTGAAACAATTGTTACGACAACATACTTGTAATTGGACTTGTGCTCTTCGTTAAAAAGTCGCAATCTTTTTTCACTAAGCTTCTGAATGCCGTAAACAATCTTCGCCCATTCGGGATTGATATCATCCTTGTTATCGCTGATTACGCGAGTTACAGGCATCAAACAAACGCCCGTTTTCGATGACAATCCGGCTTTCCACAACTGTTCGAACCAACGATGCGTTCGGCCAGACCATCGGCTAAATAATTCACAATTAAGCTTTTACAAATAAATTATAATTTTTTTGATTTGTACGATACAATTAATTTTGTGAAAGATTCCTGGAATTTTCAACGCGATTTCATTCCCGGTACTTCCCGCGGTACAGAGTGATATTGCTCACGTTATATCCTCGACAGGTGTATCTCCGAGAAGAAAAGGACTCCATAGACCGGCACTTCCGTCGCCGGTCGTGTCAGGTGAAAACGCTTCGGCGAAGATCTTCACATCGTAACTCGGAAAAGCACTTTTCACTGCAAGTGCGCTCGTTACTCCTATTACACCGGCACCCACGACTGCCACGCGCATTTTCTCCTTCGCTATTCTACAACGATTGACGACACTTTCAACGGTATGCGAGATATCGGAACGCATATAAGCGTTTCGATCTCATACGCGATAACGACGATCTCGAGATTACTGACGCCAATCAGGGTCGTATTTATTCATAGATGTCAGATCGATTTCAAGATGCGTTGAAAGACAAACTTATCTACTTACAAACTTAGGCGTTTGCGAATAATAATGAGGAATAAATGAATATTCACACGAGAGAGAAACGCGGCTTGTTTGACGACTTTATTAAAAACGTGACCACGTCAGAAAATTAAATACGCGGGAGTCGGGCGTCGTTCGCGCGCGTTTCTCGACGAATTCTTCGCGCGAATTGCAGTCGCGGCACACAATCGATGCGTATTAACAACGCGTATGTAAGAAATAAACGCGACGAGGTCGCGAGGATCGATAACCTCGGTGAGTATCGGAAGAAGACTTCTCTGATGCTGCGAAAAATCACGTCGTTAACGATCTTTTTGAAAAGAGCGAACTTATTTGTCAAGTTCGCGCATAAAATATCGTTATCGAACATGCGTCTCTTCTTCCGGTAAACTCTTATTGCTAAGTAAAATGTTCGTACACACAACCGCAACCTCACTTCACTTTGTATTTATTCTTTGCGCTCATTTCAACTACGTATTGGAGTTTCATACTTTTTATATAAAAATTTACCGGAAGTAAGCGAAGTTAAACGGAGTAAAAAGACAATTGTTGAATTTATTCTCCAAAGATTGGCGTACATTTGCGACTCCTTATTTGAGCATAATGCCTCGTAACTACACGGCTGAGTTATGCTAAAATATGGGAAGCGCAAAGAGACAATCACATACACGGGGAGGAGGGTTCTCTTGATCGGGGCATTAGCAGATGATCCCGTCGCACCGTACTGTTAGTAAACGGAGCATAATACTCTTTTGGCGATGCTTTTACAAAGTTCTTACACTCTGTTTACCGACAGCACAGAACGCGCAAACGAAGATGCTGCAACTGGACCGCAAAACACACCGTAGTCGTCATCTTGCGTTCGATCGCGAGCCGATGCGATGGTTAAAATTCACACGCAAATGTAACACTCTTCCTGTTTGCGGGAAGAAAAAAGTGATTTCGATCTCTACGTTTTACGAGGCCCGAGCACTGAATGAACAAGCGCCAAGTATCGTCATGTAGTATATAAGACGGCAAACCGAAGTGCCCGATGACAGTTTATGATACGGAGTATTTATTTACACGGTATGCGAGAGTGCCACAGACATAATATGGCCCGGAAATGCGATAAAGAGTGTCGATGACGTGTTTTCGACGTGTTAATATTCTCGAGAATGTTGATACGTTATTTCAAGTTGTGCCGTTCCGCATTGTTATTGTTCCGCAATCTGAATAAAAATTGTGGCACCTGTGCTGTCCCATTCTTTTGTTTTGTTTGATCGGTAGTATTGGTTTAATACATTCTTGTTCGATTGATTCAGTTGAATGTAAATTCTTCCTAACATATATTGTGTCTAACAAAAACATATTTCTGACACGTTCTGTAACAGACAAAATAACAAAAGCGTACATAAAAAAATAAAAAGAGTATATAAAATTACTTCTGACATATTACTCCATTAGATTTTACTTATTCAAAGATTACGTCACAGAAAGTTATTTTAATAAGAAAAAGTATACTAGGGCAACTCTCTTTTAATATATTAAATTTCGGTGGAGAGAGAAAGAGAGAGAGAGAGAGAGAAAGAAAGAATTCTGCAAGAATATTTTTCAGATAATGCGAAATGTTTTTTATGAGTTGTGCATATTGATATAAAAAGCTGTATGTAAAATCAGAGACGTTACCTCTACAATGGATGATCTAATAATATATCGCGCCGGGGTTTTGCGCTGATGACACAGCTAGCCGGCATTGTCGCCGATGCATCAGGATCGATATGAACATATCCAGTTTATTACCGTGATACACCTGATCACATTCGCGACGATCAATCGGGGTGGTCGAGGAATCGTATACGTTTGCAGCTGCAGCTGCGCAACAGCTCGAGAATCGGTCTCGGATAACATACGCCATACCAACGGGTCAAAAGTATGTCATCCGAAACCGTCATCGGGTTTTATAATCATATAGCGCACCGTACGTACGCCAACGATCTTCCTCGGGGGATTCCTTGAGAAAAAAGCGTGTTTGACGCGTATAATTAATTAAATCCGGAGCACGGTGCACTCTCTGGTTGGGACTCGCAACAATTAATCACCGTGGTGATTAATTTGCCATGATAGAGTATCGCAGTTGAATGAAAACTGATGTGTGAAAGAGGGTGAATCTATTCAACTTGTATATAAAAAATAAAAACTGGATTCCGTCCGATCGATTGCCAAAGTTTCCTTCCGTATTATACCGATGTCTAATAAACTTTTTCGGTAAAAAGTTGCGAACTAAAAACGTTCACATAAATTTTACATCTCTAAATTCTTTGAAATTGTCGATATTATTGTTTTATATTTTGTGAATATATATAATGAATCTAACAAATATTATGTATGATAATATTATGTATCAAATTAATAAACTAAACGTTGATGTACTTGTGAAAAAATTTTTAAATACGCATATACAAACGCGTATGCAAAAGGCTCCACCATCCATCTTCGTTCGCGCATGAGCAGAGATTTCTTCGACAAAAAATGGCGACTCTATGTAAGTAATGCGCTCTATATGCAGCGTGTGGAAACTCGTCGCGAGACCGGCCCGTTGGTCTCGCGGCTTTAGTACAGATCTACGAACCTAGAGGTCCCGAGTTTGAATCCGCCTAAAGAGCCGTCTACAATGGAGAGTTGTAGGCCGTAATAGTAAGAAATTGACCAATCACAGACATAGTACAGAAGAATAATTGATTGTGATTGGTCAATTTCTTACGACTTACGACTTACGACTGTATTGTAGAACAGGTCTAAGGGCTGACCGATATGCGGCACCACTTTCCAGGTTGCCGCGATTAGCGCGCCTTTAGCGGTAGCGTTGGCGAGCAGCCGCGTGCACGCGGGAAGCACGTGGCCGCGAGATAATTCTAGCTGATTCTAGCATTTTTGAGAATTCGGAAAGAGCGAGTGTGCTCGTGCTTCGAAAGATCCGGGGACACTCCTATCGTAGCGGGCGGACCGGATGGTCGCCCAGGAGGAATCGTGTCGTCCGAGCGGAGCGAGCAGCAATTTGGTAACAAGAAGTTGGTATGTGAAATAAAGATATACGTGTTTATTAGCATAGTAAATAATTGCTGTGTTGTGTAAATTATTTAACTTTCTAAGCCTATCGTTGTCGCGATACGCGAGAGTCGTGTCGAGCAAGGTCGAGGTGCCCTTGGCTTTTATTATTTGTCGACTTGATATTGTGTCGGTGATTGCTGTGGCTCGAAAGTGAGTTCAAGCACATCAAATTGGGTTTCTCTATCTCGTTGTTATTATATCGACGTGTCGGTTACAAGGAAAGAACAAACAGCTTCGACTTTCATGTAATATTTTCTGTTATCATATACTGTTCGAAAGTCGCAAGATATACTTGTTGTGTTGTTCGTCGTTATTATTCCGAATCGAATAAGAACGGAATTATATAAGGTGTTGAAATAAACTAGTTGGTTAAAAATAAAAATTTTAATATCTTACAGATGAAAGATCGAGCCCGCAGCAATGAGAATATCGAACCAATAGAAGCGGTGGCACGCAGCACAATGTCAGATTTAGAAGATTTCAAAGAGAAATTAAAAAAACTGGAATGTTCTGTAAAGTTAGGGAACATTCCTCTTTCTATATACAAATCTTCGGACACTGGAATCCTTGTGTACAATTTAGAACAAGAGGGACCAATTATTACTGGCTATTTTAATATTGGTAATGTATTGACACGTCCATTACTCATATACATATATCTTAGTATTATTTATCGTTTAAGATATTTTCTTTACGAGACACTAGAACAAAAAGAAATACATAAAGTAAAAGTAGTAGTATTTTTTATAAAACATTGTATGACTATGACTAGCTTTATTTTATCAGAGAGAAGACTGAGAGCGGCCATGCCATTTGTTGTTTTTTTGCGACGGTTTCCAGCCGAGTTTCACGCAAAGTGGAACCCGGCGCTGAAAGTAGCGGCTACTAAGTTATACCCTTCGTCGTTATTTATGAATTTTCGAACCGTAGTAAGAAAATGTAAATAATGCTTTCTGTCAGTCAATGTATACCGATTAGAGTCTGCCAAAGAAAGAGTTTGCGTTATCATTTATATGTATTTGTAAAGTGATTATTACGTAACATTCCGACGAAATTACCGGGTATATATAGCAAATTATTTAAGTAAGAGTCTAATTGTAACTCAACATTGGTTTCTTCTTTGCTATTGTAATCTATTTCTTGTATTATTGTTTGTGATATTACTTCCATTATTTTAAGGTCATATAAAAGTTTCTTACATTTTCTAATGGCTTTTTTATAATTTTGTAATTCAATCTATACAAAAAGAAAGGTTTATAAGGACTAGAATTTAAATTTATAATTATTAAAAAATATTTTCTTGCGAAGTAAAATATTAAAACGTTCTATACATTACCTGAAACACCAGAGATATACTCTGGGAACAGCATTTTGCCTTTTCATGAGTACCAATGTATATTCCTTCTTTGTAAAGAATCGATTTTTCCAACTGATATTCTATTATTTTTCTGAATAATTGCACATACCGTCTATTATTTTCAGACCACTCATCATTTTTAATGGGCGAACTATCCATAATAACTTGTAGCTAAATGTAAAAAAATATTTTTTACTATGGTTTACTTATTGTTAGTATTATGTAATATTATGTGTTTTAAAAGACTAAAAAAGAGATACTATAGAAAATAAAAACTATGAAAACAGAAACACGCAAATTCATTTTTACAAATAGAACTGTACATACGTGATTATAATACGATGAACAAGAACGATACTCACATAAAGGAAATTCACATTTACATTATATAAGTAAGTAAAGAATGGCAGTTTTCTAACATCTAGTTTAGGATGTTGCTTGTCCGTTTCCGTGTTGTATGTTTCAATATTATAAAATGTGATGGAATCGGTGCCAGGTATAGGCACACTTGCTAGTACTTCATCAGGCACAGATTTCTAAAGAGATGGTGAAAACAGTAAAAAAGTAAAACAAATGTTAACAAAAAATACTTGATGTATGTACATATAATATAGAATCTAATGTAACTAATGAAAATCAAATTTATTTATTTACATTCATTTCTTCTATAGCTTCCAGCAGTTCTTTTTTTTTTTGCTCTAAACCTTCCTTTCCAAGTTGAGCAATTTGTTTTTGTTTATACAATCTTTCTTCTTTCCGGAAATCCTTGTCTTTTGTACATGCGCCTCTCACAACAATCATCGGTGCATCAACAAAGTATTTTTTAAAAACTTCTAAAAAGTATGTTTGAGGTTTTTTTATTAATTCTTCAAAATGGCGCGTATTTAATCTTTGATCCAACTAAAAACAACCAAGAAAACAAAAAATATACTTTTATAATATAAATTATCTGTTATTACATTATCAAATAAATCAAATAAAGTTTAATAAGCAAGATATCTAAAAACATACCTCAGAGATTTCATTTCCATACATTATGTAATCAAGTATCTGATATGCACATATATCGTGCAAATTTTCATGAAATTGTTGCGACTCAATTACCCTTTTTGTTGATTGTTTTAATTTTTCCATATCTATATTTTTATTTTCATATACCTTGTAAAGCACTTTTTTGAAATTTCCAGCAAATTTGTAAAAATTGCTTGGCGTATTAATGAAGATTAAAGTCAACATCGTAGTTGAATACAGATATGTTCTGTAGTTGATAGAAGTGATGTTTTTGTCATCACATTTTGTTTTTAGTAGACCGCTGTCTACTAAATATTGAAGTAAGAGCAAACATGTGTGATATTTGTAAACATCTTGGCTTTTTGGTCCTTGCCAAGCAATATACATTGTATTAACAATTTTCTCAGAAGTATCTTTAAAAGAAAAAAGAACTTGAATATCTTTATTTTTTTCAAGTTCTTTAAGTTCTTTACCCCACGGTTTTTTAAAACCATCTTTTCTTGGCTACAAATGTGAGATAAAACATATTATAACAGTATTACATTTTTATTAAACACACTATGCTCGAAAGAAAAAACAAGAATAAAACGTGCAAACCGTCAATTTCTTTAACAATATGTATATATATACCTGCAACATTATTTTTTTTTCTAAAGGCAGTAAAGCATCATAAAGTTTCTTATGTTCTACTTTTCCTATTACAACTATAGTTAAGTTTTCAGCTCTGTAAAATTTTTTGTGAAATTGTTTGAGTTTATTATTATTAGTACTTTCACGTAAATTTTTCGTTGTACCTATAATAATACATATAATTAGTACTTGATGTGCACAGCTGCAAAGGCAAAAATAGATTTTAATCATTTATACCATGTATAACTGATGAATATCCAGATTTTGTCGGATAAAATGTTTTCATCAATTTAGTGTACATTATAGTACACGCCTTGTATTCCTCTTTTTGCCAAGCAATATACACTGCATTACCAACAGTTTTACCAGAGGTAATCATACGTGTCTGATATTCGTAAATATTTTGACTTTTTGGTTTTTGCCAAGCAATATACACTGCAACTATAAGTTGGTTTTGGTATATTGGTAATAATTATACACATCATTGAGATCGAGATTACACTCGAATTTAATTTTTGGAGGCCCGATTTAGTTCGCCGATCAAACCGATAAACTCGGTTGAAAGGGACCGGCCCGGAAAAAATCCTCACCTAGCTGGGGTGAGCGGATTCGAACTCGGGACCTTCAGATTCGCAGCCCTGCACTCAGGCCGCGAGACCAGTGGGCCGGTCGTGTTTAAGATATATATGTTAACATATATAATAGATATATATATACAGGGTGTCCCAGAATTGCCGTACAATCTCTCGTAGGCAGGTAGAAGAAGTAAAACTGAGTCGAAAAGTCCTGAACCATTTTTTTCTATTATTTATAATAAAAGAGTAATTATTGAGTAAATCAGGCCAATCAGCGCAGACTTTTAGCCAGGCACACGTCAGTGAGCGCTCACACACACCAGGCGCGCGGCTCACTGACGTGCGTCTGGCTAAAGGTCTGCGCTGATTGGCCTGATTTACTCAATAATTACTCCTTTATTATAAATAATAGAAAAAAATGGTTCAGGACTTTTCGACTCAGTTTTATTCCTTCTACTTGTCTACGGGAGATTGTACGGCAATTCTGGGACACCCTGTATATATAATATATGTTAACATATATAATATATTATATATTATATATGTTAACATATACATGTTTAAGATATATATAAAGACATCTAAAGTAAAAGTAGTACGATTTCCTATATAGTACTTATATAAATTTAAAAACATTGTATAAGAGCTTTGTTTTATATTAGCGACTCAAACAGTTGATGACGACGGTGTGCCCGAAGCGGTAAAACGTCTCATTTTTACTGGCAGCAAGGATCTTCCATATAACAAAATTCTACAAACATTCGCTAAGAAATGTTTAACCATTGACATAACGGCTACTACTTCCAGCGATCGTACAACGTTTAAGCTTAGTACCGCTGTTTAGTACATCGTTTCTTTTGATGATCCCAGTATATCTTGATCATATATTTTATCCACTTCTAAGGGTAAAATTTATTTATTTATTTTTTATGTGTTTAAACCGGTAATGTTGAACAATGACAAAGGATATTTGTTTTCTGGTTGATGTTTAACGTACAAGTTAAAAGAAACTTCTACCATTTGAAATTTTTCCTAGTTTTTTTTATCTAATGTATGAAATTGTTATTTTCTTAATACTTTCGCGTCTTCTAACGTTAGCCTTACCTTACGTTATTTCAAACTGTGTAGGTAAAGACTGAACGTAAACGTGATTTGATATTACTGTAAAATTTATATGTTCATTTGTTTAATAAACATTTATAAGAGTGCGGTCAAAGCCTCGCTGCAAATGTTTTCCCTTACGAAAAAGAATTACTGGCAGTAATATATTGCGGCAGTGGTACGAAAGAATTACTGGCATTCTGTGTAATTGCCAGTAATATTCTCAGCGATTCCTGTAATATCTAATAATATTCTTGCGTGATTGTCAGTAATATTTATATTACTGACTTTATTTATATGTAATCGGCAATAGTTCTTTTTCGTAAGGGTTAAAGCATCGTTCTATCTTTAATTCTCGTTAAATGTAGTGTAAAGCCCCTTGCACAATGGAAGGAATAGCGATAGCGATAGAAATAACACAGTTTTTAACACAGAATTCCAACTCGTCGGAAATTTTATCGCTATTGCTTATTCCGATTTTCTGATCTGCATTGATACACGTGTATTTTTGTATGTTAGATTCCGCTGTTCCTACCTTTATTTTTAAATAAATATAAACTCTTTAAAGCTCCTTGCACAATGAAAGGAATAGCGATAGCGATAGAAATAACAAAAGTTTTAAAGAGTTTATATTTATAAAAATAAAAGTAGGAACAGCGGAATCTAACATACAAAACTACACATGTATCAATGCAGATCAGAAAATCGGAATAAGCAATAGCGAAAATAAAATTTCCGACGAGTTGGAATTCTGTGTTAAAAACTGTGTTATTTCTATCGCTATCGCTATTCCGTCCATTGTGCAAGAGGCTTAAGGACCATCACAAGCTGCGTAATGCACAGCATAAGACCATTTGGACCAATAAGCATCGAGCGTAAAGTCGCCAGAGTGAAGCAATGCTTTTATTGCTTGTCATTGGCATATACTTTCATATTTAAAACGGATTTACAAGAGGAGACCAATCGCAGACAATAAGCGCAAAGCGTTTGCTAATCGCTGAGTTCTGCTTGAACGCAGTCATTATGTCGAGATCAGTTCATTGGTCGAATCGAGATCACTTCACCAATAACATAAGACTTGCCTAATGTCGTTTCTAGTTGTCGCACATGCATGAATATGTTTCAAAATCCTACCTCGGTTGCTAAAATGCTATACTTCACGTCACGTGTGTTATAGTTTTTGATAACCAAGGTAGGATTTTGGAACGTATCCCATCACGCTCGTGAAGTCACCGAACATCGGTTTCTCTGAGAGGATTTCGTCTCCGATTGGTCGATTTCACGCAAATTGCGCCGTTGCAAACGGGTCTTGAACAGGGACGTTGTGCCACATACGGATGCTGATTAATGTTCGGCGATGTTCGTGGCGTCGTCCCGCCGTCTCTTTTTTCCATTCAAGCTAGTTACCATTCCAGTTCGTGTTTGTTGCCCGTGAAGCGATGCCTTCTGTTAACCATAAGTTAGAGAAACAGGCCTCTACGGAGACCGCTGAACCCCTTCGCCAGGCTATCATCGTAATCGAGCACAAGATCAGAAATCTTGAAAAGCGAAAGGTAAGCATGGTGTTGCGGTCGCTCGTATCGTAATTACAGACAAAATTCTATTGTCAAGTCGCGGTGGCTTCCCTACCCGTGCGCTCCGCCATGATTCTCCGACGTGCCATGTGCTCACGTACCTCAATGCATTTTTCCGAGGATTATTTTCCGCGACAATACGCGTATCGAAATCATCCCGTCCGCGTCATACCGATTGTTGTGTCAGCTCGTGGCTCGCGACATCGTTCGGTCGATGACGAACGACAAAATCCCGTTCTTTCTAACGCGCCAATTTACCCTTGCCAACCTCGTTATCATGGCGGTACATTTATCGCTGCGTGCACGGAAGTTTTCTTCTTACACACGCACCCCGCTCGGAAATCCCATCGCCGAATCTCCGTCTTGCGGACGCGTTTAGCGACGTTAATCGCGTTTTCGTTGGAACTATGTGACTTAACACGGAATATCTATGATATTTGTCTCGGTAGTATCGCGATCTACAGAGTCTGACGATTTGATTTCGATAAATATTGCCGCATCGCGAAGCTGTTGCGAGATCGTCGCATTAATTTATGTATGTAGATTATTACAAAAAAATCGCGCGTTCTTGTAAATCAGAACGCAAGATTTCGAATTGCTTTGTTTCGATATTGCGGCGTTCACCGTTACAACTATTTTGCGACACGTTTTTTTTCGCATTTGGTTTTATAATTTATGTTTTATTGTAATTACGTTTTATATATTGTAAATGCGCGCAATGTATATGTGTTTTACGAAAATGTAAGGAACTAAGATAATGTGACTATGTCACAAAAGAAATCAAAAATGAATGTTTCAATATATATTTTTGCATTCAGGGTAAACTCGAGTCATATAGGGATTTACAGAAAACTGGCAAAGAATTGAATCCAGACCAGAAGACAGCGGTGGCCAAATACGATGAGGTGTTGCAGACATTAGATATAACCCGAGATTTGTATAAGCAGATAGTTAATATCGCTAACGATGCTGTTAAACAGCAAAAAAAACTGGCGCGCAAGGAAGCTGTTGAACGTATGCAACAGGACATTTCCAAAGTAAAGATCTGAAATAATATTTTATATATTACTTACAAAATGCACAAGTTTTGAAACATAGAAGTTTTTTAACACAATGATGAATATGATACTTTAGGTAAAAGAGGTTCTTCTTGTCCAACATATCTTGACAAGTATCAGCACTAACGCAGTAAGGGATGATTTTTTTCACGGAAAAAATGGAGCTGTTAAATTATCAGAAGAAGAATTAAAATTTCTTGGCAACTTACATGCTGAAGTTACGATGAAACTTCAACGTGAAGAGGGTGATGTGACTTTTGTTCAGCAAGCTCAAAAAATAGCTGAACATTACGTAGCGATTGTAGATGGAAAACAGAGAGAGATTGTTGGAACGACTTACAACAAATTAAAAGAGATTATTTCAAAAATCAACCAATCAGGCTATTTCGATCAAGTTCGCGAATGCTCGGAAACTGCTCCAGCGGAAGACGTATGTATTAACATCAACACGCATAGTAAGAATACTATACACTCTATGGTTTGAAGTGTGCGCTTTATTTTATTTTGATATATATATATATATATGTTATATTTATATATATATTTGTAGATTCTTGAAACTGTGGCAGAAACAAAACCTAATGATGCACAAACTGCGCAAGAACACAACGAAGAATACAGCAACAACGACAATCGACACATTCCGGAATCTTTGATTCCTATTACGAATTTCCCAGTTCAAGTTGCACCGCTGCCCGTTGTTTCCGGAGCTGCTCCTGTTTCGGGACCTATCCCAGTTGTACCACAACCTATGCCTCCGCACCCAGCCGCTCCAGTAGATACTCCTTATTATACAAACGCTACCAACTTTGTTCCACAACCGCAACAACAGCCAGCTCAGCAATCTCAACAACAACCACCACCTGCGCCCCAAATCAACGATGTCATAGGCACGCCGAACTTCATATTCTTGCAAAAATCTGAACTTGATTCGCCGGACGTCACCCAAGCGCCTATTGTTCCACACATTCCTCCTGCAGTTAATGCACCTATTCCCACGCAAACTTACACAAATCAGAATTTTACGAACGCACCTGTAGGTGTGCCGCAGCAAGTAATATATCAACATCAAGCGCCACAGGAAATGTCTCACATTCCTGGATTCGGAAATCCTAATCCACCACCACCGATCCCGATGCCGCCATCCCACCAACAACCAAATATTCAATATAGTCCACAACACCCGGCGGGTTTTCAACCTCAACAGCCGCAACAAAACGCGGCACAATTGCCACAACAGGGACAGACACAAAACTTCAAAGAACAGACACATCAGCCGGAACCTCAAACATCGACAGAGGTAAGTTTATTGCTTCTTGTTTCAGTAAAATTACAGAGTTTCTTGTGACTTAAGTCGTCGAGGTCAATCTCTCGTGACTCAAAGTCCTCTCCATTTCTTTTACTCTTTGAAAAGAGTTAATACTTGACATGTATATGTAAGGTTATGTGTTCAGCGCGAGTGCATGGTAGTGGGATGGTAGCCCAAGAGAAGAATTTAAATAGTGAGAGTCAACGGACTTAAGTCAAGAGGATTTCTGTTTTAAAGAGCAATTGTTAAAGACACATTATAAATAATAGATAATTCGAATAAATGTAAATTTTATTAGGAAAAAGTCGAGAATGGTCAAAATGAAGCTATTGTAACCACGGAGTCATCGTTGGAACCACAAAATGAATCCGTTGACTGGTGTCAGATGACCGACACTAATGACTGGAATCAATCCGAACAGCAACAGTCGATGCAAGATTCTCAACAAGCAGCACAACAGACATCTCAGCAAGGTTGGGGTGATCAACAACGCGGATACAGAGGACGAGGTGGTAGAAGAAATACTCCTAATAGCTATAATGCTAGAGGCAGGGGTAATTACCAAAACGGACGCAGCGGACAAGGTAAATGAACAGCACGCAATTAAAAACAAGTTGATTAGATTAAGGTATTTAAGATGATTTTTAAAAATATTTGTTTTATAAAGAGATTGATTACAAAGGTAGTCTGTTTAACAGAAAAAAAAACACTGTCTTTTTTAGGCACGTATTATCGCAATGATCAAAATTACCAAAATGGTTATCAGCAACGTTCCTGGGGCAATGACGGAAATAGTGGATTTAATGCTGGCTTCAAGCGTGGAGGTGGCGGCGGACCTAGGGGCGCGCGAACCGAGCGCGGTGGTCGTGGACAGTTTCGCGGTCAGAGGGGAGGTACGCGTGGCGGATACGTGTCACGTGGCAAGCCTCACACGCAGCAATAAGAAGGAAATAAGAACAACGCTAGCTAGCGTGAATGCACAGTAAAACACATTATAAAGATGCTCTACGATCGTAACTCAATTGTCTATTTATGAAAAAGCTTAAGTCGAAACAGTGCATTTGCGTGACGAAAGCGGGATATGAGAAAAGTAAGCAGGTACTGTGCACTATCGCTAAGTATTATTATATATATACATATATATACAATTACTTTTGATATTATCGATTAATTATAAAGCGAATTTAGTAGGTTATGTAAATTTTTCACTGAAAACAAAAAATCGTATAAAAACTTTTTATCTTGCATGTATCAAAGGTAAATTTAACGGGGATAAAGTTTTAGTTTATTGATTTATACATTAGTTTTCTTTTTTCCATTTGTTAATGGAGTAATCAGATATATTACGCGAACTTTTCTATACGATGTGCGAAAGAAAAACGAAATCAGAAAGAATCTTACGTTGGCATTTGTATTGCGACTTGCGACTTAAGATGTTTCTTAAATATGATACATTGAACGAATAAAACTTCGCATTTGAATTTGATGTCTGAATTTAAAGATTACTGTTAATAAAAAAAAAAAAAAAGACACGACAAGATTGTGATACATTAAATTTTGAAACCTACCATACAAGAGTATTATTGTATTATGACAGAAGGCAGGTTTCACAGGGCAACAAAGATCAAGCTGTTTACAAAGATTAGAATAATTTTATTATAAAAAATACAAAAAAAAAATGAGAACTTATTTCATGTAAAGACTACAAGAAACGTATTTAAAGAATAACGTTAAGACGATTATATAAGTAATAGACGATCTGCACGACCATCTCTTTGTCTTGCGGGGTTCATCATGCTCCAAGAGAGGATTTTTTAAGATACCAGAAACAAAGAGGATACAGCGAGCAATGCCTTCGAAAACTGCTAAATAGTCTCTTCACTTCATATTCCGCGTACCTGTATGAGAATTTGAGGTGTAGATAAAGAATTTATCGAGAAAATCAAGTAGTTTCAGAATTGTAAATGATTCACGCGATATGTAAGATCTGTAAAAGACGTTTTTTTTTTTTTTTTTTTTTTTTTTTTTTTTTTTCATATAGGAATGCGTAAATCACTATGTTAATACTTTGAATCGCTGTCGCTTCCTCTTCCGTTTTTCTGTGTGACTGACCAAAATTCTTCAACGCTGACCGCCCAAGTTCATCGGTTGAGTTAAAAGCTCATGGTCAAGCGAAAGAGATAGCAGTGCAATTCTCTTGTTATGTTAATAACACATTACCTGATTTTTTGTATTTGTACGCAAACAAAAAAAAAACAGAAAAATATACAATTATTTTTCAATCGGAGGAAGCGATACATGTGAGGGGTTTTAGCGTATAAGTCGAGTGTACAATTATTGACTATTTAGAGAGAGATAGAAAGAAAGAGAAGGAGAGAAAGAGAAAGAGAGGGTGCGCAGTACGGCGCTAATAAGTCACGTTATACATTGCTGCTAAACACGCGATGAAAACTACCATTTATTGTATTTTGTTTGTACATTTGTGTTTAATCACCTCCTCCTTTATATTGATTACGTTAAACTATTCTATAAATATCTATGAATATATCTTCCAAATAAAGATCTAATTCGACCGTGCTGGACTGGCCTATTTATTATATGATCATCGAAAAGTCAATGGTTTGTGCGAGTTGTGTTTTATGTCACCATAAAATACGATGTATCTCACAAACTTGTGATTTTTCAATGATGGTTTCACCTCAATCTTTTTTATACAAAATTTATTTTATATTTAATATTTTATACAAAATCACGGAAGGATTTAGTAATTGATATAACAAAATTCAAAATAAGATTTCTCACGGTTACCTTATAAGATACGGAATATTTAAGATCCGCTGGAAACAAAAGTTTGAGCAAGCGAAATGTTTGGAACATACCTTCTTGCGTACGATACTACATATAAAATGATATATGCACACCACACGAATAAACCGATACTTCTTAATTCTCTGCATGGGAGAATTTGTATTTTCTAATGACAGAGTTACTAAGTTAATTGTTTGTAGGACGAAATTCAATGCGCTTATATAGCTCTGTGTGTAGGCTATAAGTATACAAATATATATTGCATTTATTATTATTATTATTATTATTATTATTATTATTATTTATGTATGCTCACACTGACTTTCACCACAATGCAGTTAAAACATATGAAACATATACTGTTATAACGATTGTGTATACATATAACGATTTTTCGTATGTATGCGCATAATTTATATAAATAACAAATTTAGAGAAGTATTAATACCAGAGATATACTTTTTGATATGCAGTATCGCTAATAATAAAGGCACTAAGAGATGTATGTTACCATTTAATGACATACAAAAACTTTATTAGGTCAAAATAAGACAAATTACAAAATGTACACGTCACTGTTGAGAATAAATCGTTCTAGAAAAAAATCTCGACGGCAAATATTTTACCATCAAATAATCGAGAGTTTACAGATTCATTAAATTAATAATCATACTTAAGCTGTACAGAACCACCAAGTGATTTTGAAATATATTGTGATTTTGTTTTATAGTATATAGTATTCGTTCTATTTTCAATTTATAAATAATAATAATTGGTATGTGTGTGTGTGTGTGTGTGTGTGTGTGTTGTGTGTACGAGAGCGTGCGCGCGAGTTTTATTTCTTTATGTAATGCAATTTTTTTCTGGTTTATTTTACACGTTGAAATAAATTTTTCTCATTAGTTTTTTTGCTGCAAATTTGTTTTCTCGTTTTTTTTCTCTACTTGATGTAATAAATTTAAATTTACTTCAACACGTTTCGATTATAAGAGTGCCAAGTAAGGAAATGCGTACGTGTGATGTTTATAAATATGCAATCACAAGAAATTCACATTATCTTCATGTGTATATTTGTATACATAAAAGGCTTGTAGGTAATACACAATATATTATTATACATAAAAATAAGATTCATTTTCTCTCTATAGAATAAAGCTGTCATTTAGAATATAATGTAATGAAAAAATAGACAGTTTTGTATAAAAAAAATAAGTGTGAATTTTCAATGAGATAGCGATATACATTTTCATAGCTACTTGTGCAATAATAAATTAATAAACTTTTTGTATATAGAGTATGATAAAAATTAAACATTTTGAGACCATATACATAATATAATAATATCAATATAATTGTGAAGAAATTTATTTATCTACTAATTTTTTTGTAACAAATTCGTATTATTATCATATTTAGCTCAGTAAACTTTCTATATCTGCAATAATATCACATTTTTATAAAACATTTATTGCGTAATCCCATTCTAAACAATCTGTTATAATAGTTCGTAATAATATTTCTTTAGCTTTTGTGAGTCAATTGTATATAATGAATTAGAATTTGGATATTTTTTTCTGACAACGCGCGCGTTTTACACATTGATATTTCAACTTTAATTTTTCGAGGTTTTTTTCAACATTGCGAAACATGCATAATAAATATAATAATGTAAAACGTTAAAACAAAATGTGTTTCAAAATAACGAGAACAAATTTCTAGGAATTATGCAATAAAAAAAAAACGTTAATATAATTTCTCTTTGTCATAATATCTGCGCTATGCATAACAAATTTACATAAATTTTATGAAAGTTTCATCAAAAATATATTAGAACAACAAGCGTGATGAACAAGTATTCATGTATAAAATATAATGTATCAATGTCATGTTACATTATTCTAGGTCGAGTATGTTCGTAGAAATAATTCAATTTCTTATGTGATATCGAGAGAAATCTGTTTTTATTATTATTAAACTTAAGAAAAAGTATATATATATATATAATTAAGCCTTGTTTGGTACTAATATATATAAATAGCTTAAGATCATCGTAAAGCCTTTTATGATCACGTTGAAAATTAGTTTAAAGACAGATATTCACTACGATTCACACATTACGTGCTTTGGACGAAAAGGTACGCTTTCTTTTTCTAGTATAAAATATTCTAACAGAAAGCAACCGTGAAAATAACAAAATCTGTACCCATTATTGCGGACAAAGAACGTAGTGTAAACTTGAGAGAGACTTCATGGATGTGAAACAAGATGTGATTATGTAGATAGAGCTACTTGTACACAAACACTACATGATTGGTCCAATCGTAATTAAATCAATGTTAGACACGTAATTTTTCTATATATATTCAACACTCCTCATATAAATTAAACCGCATTTTGTTACGTTCTTTCTTTAATAATATAATTAGAACAACTTCCTTATATTTCCCTCTTTTTTCTTTTCAGTATCATTATTTACATCAAATATTCTACCATTATTAACTACATTTAGGCAATATTTTGCATCTTTTATACACATATATTGAACAGTAAAAACTAATAAAATAAAAAAAAAAAAAAAAAAAAAAAAACGTAAATGTTTAATTGTCCTTCGAGGAGTCGATTCGCTGAACNAAAAAAAAAAAAAAAAAAAAAAAAAAAAACGTAAATGTTCTTACAAAATTAAATGTGTACAAACAAGTGGACGTGTTTTCTCAACATTAATATCGCAAACTTCAAGAGCCTGAAAGATCACCTTTGGGAAGCACAATTGTAGTAACTTGAGATTTCGCGAATACACGGTGATTAACAGTTGGTCACAAAGTTACGCACGCAATATGAAAATCATTTTCTTAATTTTTCTGAAGTGACTTTTATCACCGAACAAATTGTTTTACTTTTAAATTTAATTATAACTGCAATTTATATATCAGAAGTTTTTTGTGTAATTTTCGTTATCTTACTTTCGCACATATATGTTACCTTTGATAGGGTTCTGAGACAATTCTAATAAAGTGATACTTCGTCTGCAGATATGACTAGTTCTTCGTCGCTCCAGTCACCGACGGCCAATCTTACGGATCCATGAAAACTCTGCGACTTTGCTACAGGGCTACAAAGTTAAATTAAAAGTACATACATATAATACATAACACGATTGAAGTATGAGATGGTGAAGAATCAAACTTGTTTTCACGTTTCACAAATTTATCGCATCGTTTTATTAAAAGCAAAAGGCTTTGTTGAAAGAGAAAGCAATGTGTATTTACATTGGATATTTTGACTGAACAAAATCAATTATCTGATCAAGTAAAATGCAATTCTGTTAATAATAAAATAAAGTCAAACCTTAGAGTAATTGTACTCTAGGATTAAGCTGCAGTGTTCGCAAAGGAGTCAAGAAAAATCAACAAGTGGAAAAGAGGTCTCACACGTAAGTAGTTTAAAAGTCAATAGTTCACACGCAATTCACAATAAAATTGTTTTTAATGACAAAAATATTTAACAATTAAAAAATAAAAAAATCTTATTATTCACGAAAAAAACAAAGATAATGCAATTCATGTGTATAATTTGCACAATCTAAAGCAAAATCAAGCATTTGTGTGCCACTAAAAATACTTTATACAATTTTGAAAAGCAACTAATATTTCAAGAACTACCTCATTAATCTATAGTGTAAAACAGTTCAAACAGTTGTGTAGGTGTACCATGTCGCTTGTTTGTTTCACCACATTGTGTTTAGATTATCGATCGCTATTAGCCCTAACAACACAGTGTGAAATAATATTATTTTCTTCAAGTCTTTAAATAACAGAATAATCCAGACAATATCCATAAGAAATCTTTTAATGATAATTTTTACTGTCTGGAAAATCTAACAATAAACAAAAAAAATTTCTTTCTCACGCAAAATATTTAACGGCTTACCTCGGTGATAGATTTGCACTTAAATTTTTTTTCAATAAGCCCGCTTTTCTTCTTCCTTCCATCGCGGCTTTCATAGGATCGTAACTCTTGCGACGCTTCCAATTTTGCATTTCAACGTCCCGTACATTTGATGTTGGAAGCTTTTTTGATTCTCTCGGTTTACTTTTAGGTCCCTATAATATATTCAGTTTTTTTATTCTAGAAATTCTATTATATATAAACTATAATTAAAACGATATTAGACGTACCATGTTCGAAGTTCTACTAACTCGCGCGCTAGATCGTCCAGAATCTGTTCTACTAACATTGGAAAGAGATTCAGTTTTGCTACGAATGTCGTGCGACAAGGGTTTAGTTTTGTTTGTATTGGAAGACAACTTTGTTCGTTGCGGATCCAGCTTTGTTCTACTCAAATTAAAATAAAGAGAAAAATAATATTAGAACATATCGATATGTGTCAAAATGTACTTAACAACGTGCGTACGTGTATGTATGTACCTAAATTCTTTAACATTGGAGATAGGAAATTGTGCAACAGGATGCTGTTCGTCGCTACTTTCTGTGTCACTCCGATGACACAGTCCCTTTGATATATTCTGATGCAGCCTATGACTCGTATCCTCATCGCTCTCGTTATCGGAGTTGAGTGGAAGACAATATTCCGTTATACGAGCGGCTATGTTGGACACGACGTTTTGTGTCGTTTGCAGATAAGAGGAGGTATCTAAATCGCTGTCGCTTTCCTGTGATCATTTACACAGCTGTTACATTTTTGCGAAAATACAATGCGGATAGCAAAGTAAAAACCAAAGCAAAAGAATTTGCCACTGAGATTACTAATATATTAAATAATATACTAATATATTACTAATATATTAAATATGATCTGATTATGTATAATTGTTCCAACGTACCAGCTGTGGACTACTGGGCGGTGGTACGTGGTTATCTACATAGGTACTATTTAATTCATTGTCTGACCAGTCGTTAGCTAATGAGAGAGCACCTCCTGTACCATGAAAACTGGCAGATCTCAGAACGGAACTGTCATGGCTAGAAAATATATAAAAATTACAATTTCTGTGAACTTAAATTTTCTTGTCATCGAGCACATTTGTCTATAATACTCACTTTCCGGAACTATCTTCAGTACTATGATGTTTCTTCGTAGTGTCTATTAATTTTTTTCTACCTTCGGCCGCTGCTTTCATTGGATCGTAACTTTTCCGTCTCTTCCAATTCTGAAATTCCACTTCTTTAGACGTAAGAGTGGAATTGCTCCTGCCAGATTTTTTGTGATCCTTGCTCGGCTTTTGATTCGTTTTCTGGTTGACAGAATGCTAAATGAACAAAAACAAGAAGTATTTAAAACATAAATCTATTAACAAATTGCTTATCCTACATAGTATTCTAGATGTGATATTTACATGAGCAGATTTTGATGCTCTCATACTGAATCTTCCAGTATCGGTTCTAGATATGGACGAGGGTCTATATTTCGTTGGCTCGAATTTTTTCAACGGCTCTTTATTGTGCGCCCCGGCATTGTTCGTGCGACTGCGATGATAATTTTGTTGTTTGTTCGCGTGTGATACAGTCTTGATCTCGGATTGTGCTCTTCTGCGTCTCTCTTCGGGAGTCGTGTTCGGCGTTGTGTCAGACTCGGAATTTAGTCTGCGAAGCAACACATTCGAATAATTTTAAATTTGAAAAGCAAATAAAAAGCAAGATGAAAGTTCAAAAACTATAAATTTTTTTTCTAAAAACTTGGTTCAAGTAAACTTTTACAATGTATACCTTGCTCTTCTTATACTGAAAGCCCTATTCAATTTGATTCCCGATGACATCAAAGGAGATTTTTTTTGTTGGTCACCGGTTTCGCTGCTGCTATCGGATGCAACCACGACTTTTCCTCGCGACGCGGTTCTATCAGTATCGTTGCTATTAAAACTGCTACGACGTGCGACGGTATTCTGCGACTTTACATTTCTAATATTCGTATTACTCGATGATCTCTGTATGTTAAGATGCCGTTGTAGCTCTGGACTGGTTTTTAACACATTGGATGTCTTGATGGACACGTCTTTGTCAAAATAACTGGTTCTTTCGTGGTAATTTGTAGTACTCTTGGACTTCCTCAACATATACGGGCTATAAGAATTAATATTAGTAAAATAAAATCGAGATTTTAAAGGATAACACAAGTGATTAGGGTTAACATAAAATGTGACATTTTAAAATTAATAACAAAATCACAATAAAACAAAATTTTAGAACTGATATAACCAAACAAAAATATAAAAATTAATATAACAAAAATATACATACCTATTTTCGACGCGCGCAAAACACCCTACATTTTTCATTTGTTGAGACAAGTTTACCAGATGCTTCGGTTTATCTAATGTGGGAGAATTAAGAATCTTCGCTGCAGCGGCCTTGCGATTAACAATTGGACTAGTAGTTAATTTTGGTGTAGGCGGCCTCAGACGGCTCAAGACGGGACTATTGGTGTGTTTGAAATCTTCTCTCTGATACTGCATACTATTTTTTCTGGACGTATTAGATTCCGTTGTGTCAGAAGCGTATTCTTTCCTATATTAAACAAAAACAAAAAAATAGATTTAAAATACATCAATTTATTAATTTATTACTATCAAACTTTAGCGCGTAAAATAAATAATTTACCTATCCAAAGAACTGCTTCTTCTTTCTAAATGAAGAACCGACAAGACTTGGGATGGATTATTCAATAATTCTACATTGGCATCTTTAGTCTTCGATTTGGTCGAATTTAAATATTTTCGAACACTTCGTCTAGTTTCGTTACTGTTCGCTCGTCGGAACAAGCTCTCGGACAAACTACTGCGTCTAGCTACTGCGCTATGGACAGGTGTGCGCTGCGAACTGTTGGGCGGAGTATTGTAACTGTTGCTAGTGTCGTCATCGTCGGATTCGCCACCGGAATCTATAATCTGATGCTGACTCGAGATCAAATTAATTCTTTCCTTTATTCGCACGTACGAATCGGCACCCAGATTACTATCAGATTGTTCCTGTGTGTAAAAGAAAAAAAATTCAAGTTTCAAAAGAAAGGCGTAAAAACTGTAAAATAATTAAGAGAAATTAATTACTTTCTATTGAGATAATTACTTTCTGATGAATTTGATTAATTACTTTCTATTCCGTTGTATTTCTATGTATTTATAAGATACATACGTAACGATTACGCGACATTCGTTGAGACCCGTGAATCGGAGATGGAATTTTGGTTGGACTCATAGGCGACGCACGACCTGTTGAACCACCAATTATCGGAGGTAGCGAGTTATGTTCTGCTACCTGAGTAGCCCATTCGGATATCCATGCGTTGTTATCGCGAGAACTGTTCATCTGCACAAGATTGATTTCGTGAATATAATTGCGCATGTTTTACACACGTTTGTGTTAATGTTTGTAAATATGTTTACCTTGAAATTATGAAGATACACCTCGTTGCTCTCATCTTCAGTTAGAACACCGACACTGAATACCTTATCAATATCCATTCTTGCTTTCTCCTCATCAGTGTAATCTTTGTGAATTGTGTAAGTTCCAGCTTCACTTACCGCGCCATCAGAATCGGCGTCGATATTGCTGACATTAAATGCATCTAGATTGGTACTTTCCGCTATGTTGTCCGCATTCAGATTGTCCATTCCGTAACTGCTGCTCGACGAATGATTCTCTCTTTCCTTCATGTTTTTTATATTAAAATCGTCAGTGATATAATTTATATTAGAAACTTTATTATCCTTAATATCGTTTATCTCTTTGTATTCGTGATCGATGTACTCAATATTTTTTGTGTACTGTTTCTCGTTTTCACCATCATAATTGTTCATCTGAAGAACGCGATTTAGATCATTTATCTTTGTAGATCTTTGAGATGACCAGTACAGGTTTTCATTGAATTTCAATTCTAAAGAGAGACTTTGGGTCGATAATTTGTGATGCTGTGATTCACCATCGCAGGATCTTGTCATTAGGTCCTGCTTATTTTGATGACAAAAGTCTTCCTGCTTATTTGTAGATTTCTTTGTGCTACCTTGTGGTCTTGAAGAATTCTTAACACCTGGAGAACAAACGTATCTTTGACATTAAGTAAGAAATAATAAAATTTATTAATTATTTTGTATTTTAACTACTAACAGTTATAATTTAAAAACAATATTTTTTACAAATGGTCGATTTAAAACATTTATAACATCAAAGTCGTTAATATGCCAACATCATTCAAAATACACAGAAGAGGTGCATGTAAGGAATATAAAGAAGACCATGACTTCATCATGAGTCATCCACATAGCACAGGTATATTTCTTTAACATATCTGTGCAAGTGTGTGTGTGTAAGAATTTATACTAAAATTTTCTTTAAACACATTATATACAGCGCATAAAATTAATAAATGTTAAACATTTTAATTTTATAACATTAATAACATTTTACAATGTGAACTACACATGTTTTGTCTCTTCTTTAGCACAACAAACATAAAGCATAGCATAAGCAAATCATTGTTTTCAGAAGAAAAAAATAATACATGTATTTATATTTACCTAATTGCTTAAGTCTTTCCGACAAGTGATCAAATTTTCGTTTTGTATCATCTTCACTACTAAAGTAACCTTCCGAATAAGTACTAGGAACTTTCTGCTTTTGCACCAAGTTTGGAGACAATATGATATTTGGCTTTTTTGGTTTGACTTCTACCTAAAAAAACAAATATTATTTTCCACAATATTGATCCAAGTTCTCTCTTACAATATGTTATCTAAACATATTTACTCAAGATTATGTACAGAACGGCAAAAAGAATGGTAATTGTCATTACCTTCGACGTGGAGAGATTTCGCCTGTGTCTGGCGTTGTACCTTTCGAACATATTCTGATATTTGGTCATGTCCACTTCCTTGTCGCCAAAATCGATGGTGAAGGCCAACGGGGTTTGACGAACGTTGGCATTTGTAGCTGTTGCCTCTGACGATTCGGTTCCGTGACTTTCTGAAGCCGCTCGCGACGAATCGCTAATTTTCTCACGTTTCTCATCGGAAACGTCAGTGCGAGGCTTGTTGTTCGTCGTCCGTCGCGAACCGATGAGTTTTTCATCGTCGTCCGTCGAAGCGCGCGGCGACAACTCGTTCGTCAACGTGTTGTCGTTGGCATCCGCATTAGCACCGTCGTCGAGTTCCGCCGACAAATCTGCTGTTTGTTCGAGATAACCGTTGACCTCGGCGTCAACCACCTCCATATTCTTTGCCATTTAACATACCAAATGTAAACATTCGCGTTGAACGATGCGATCGCGACGCATTTGCGACAAAAATCGCGATCCCGCGAAAATGATCCTGATGACTTTGCCACTCGCACGCGCTCCTACGAGTGCATTGTCAAACACGGCGAATCCCCGACAGCGTGTCACGCGGAACACTATTCTGCGTACATATACGAGGGATTCTTTGACAAGAACGGAATACGGCTGGTGTGGTATATACAGCGATCACTTTGCAAAAACCGGACAACACGTGAAATTAACATCAAAATTCAAACATAAGAATCGAATGTGTGTATTCACCGAGTCTTTACGGTCACAGCACATCGGAGTACATCCAGTTGATATTGGCAGCGCAACGAGAGCGCGCAACTCTTCTCTTGATTTTTGCACAACCGAAAGCGATATTGCACTTGCGCAAAAGAAAACCTCCGACACAGTAACGCCATCTGACCTTCTCTTTCATTTCCTCTAACTTTCATTGTTCTCCCTTTCTCTTACGTATATATATTTAATATACATGTATATATACCGCTTTCTTCAAATAGTACATTCAAATATTTAAAATAATATTTCAAAGGGGATAACGGTTATTGCGAAACCAGTTGCGGGTACAATGAAAATATTTATAATTTTTATAAATCTAATACGTTTCGATTTTAGAAAATTATTTTTAAATATATATATATATTGTATAATAGTTATCGTCCAAGTGAAAATTTCGACTTCAAGTCATCTTCAGATGGATGACTGTGTGTATTTGAAAATGACTTAAAATATAAAGTCGATCACATATTGGATTTACCTATATAAAGAGTATTTTCGTTGCATGAGACCTCGCGACCCTTACGAAAAAAGAACTACTAGTAGTAATATATTGCGGCAGTGGTACGAAATAATTACTGGCAATTCTGTGTAATTGCCAGTAATATTCTCAGTGATTCCTGTAATATCTAATAATATTCTTGTGTGATTGTCGGTAATATTTATATTACTGACTTTATTTATATGTAATCGGCAGTAGTTCTTTTTCGTAAGGGAATCGATTCGGATTTGTCGAAATTGGATCGTTCTAACGAACCCGGGATTGACTTCACAATCTGATTGTTAAAATAATATCGATGCGATGTTTGTACTCCGATCTAATTTTACCATCATCACATATATATTCGTCCGACGAGCTATAGCGATTTCTTTAAAAAGAATATTGCGCATTTCGTTTCTGGGCGCAACTATTTTTAACAGCAATAAGTGTTTTTCCAAGCGGAAAGTTTTAAAATTATACACAAAATTTGGAAAATAAAAAAGTGCATATAATATAAATATTAGTCAATAATGATGTAATGAGGTGGGTTTGATTTCAATTACCGATGCGATCAATCGATTGCGATTAATTCGATCGCGAAATCGCTCAATGGATTGATTTGATTAACCGACTTTCAAAATTAATCGCGAATTTAATCAGTTGATCGAACTCTCATAATATGTCACGTATGTGTGTCTGATAACAGAAAAGATATTATATAAACACACCCAGGCAACCAGCTGACGTTATAATGACGTTAATATAAAGTCAGTTTTTGACCAGTTCGACGTTAGTTTATGACGTGATATTAACGTAATGACGACGTGAGTTTGTCTC